ACTCGAGGTGTCTTCCAGAGTGATCACTGATCACTGCCAGTAATCATCTTGATCACTGCCGGTAGTCACTTTGATCACTGCCACTAATCACTTTGATCACTGCCAGTAATCACTTTGATCACTGCCAGTAATCACCTTGATCACTGCCAGTAATCACTCTGATCACTGCCAGTAATCAAACCATACCACGGGCGGGGATAGAACCCGCGATCAGAGAGTCTCAAAACTCCAGACCGTCGCGTTAGCCACTGGACCAGCTAGCCACAATAACATTCGTCCAACTAAGTATATTTCTACGCCATAGGAAGGTTAGCATAGGCACCACTGTACTTCTGCTAACTTGCATTTGTGGTCACAGCGGTGCTTATGCTAACCTTCCTATGGCGTAGAAATATACCTAGTTGGACGAATCTTATTGTGGCTAGCTGGTCCAGTGGCTAACACGACGGTCTGGAGTTTTGAGACTCTCTGATCGCGGGTTCTATCCCCGCCCGTGGTATGGTTTGTTCGCAATCGTGTCACTACGATTTCGTGTGCCAATAATCACCTTGATCACTGCCAGTGCTATTCGTTTTTGTTGTCTTGGTAAACGTGATGAAACATGTCGTCCAGAACTGAATAACGCCTGGAATGGTCTTCGTAGTAAGCGCTATTCTATTTGTGTACAAACTTCTTCAGTCGTGTTCACAAAAGAATAATATCCCACCATAGAGTGGAGGTTTTAAGGCATTGTCTTCGGGACTGAATAAATATCTCGTGGCGAAACGTTTCCTCAGTAAATGTGTCGAAATGTGCGACTGTGTTTGAGTCTAAATAAACACATAAAAGTCTAAGTTACGCTGCCAGCTGACACCGTCTGGCGTAGTAACTCCAGCTGTCACCGTCTGGCGTAGTAACTCCAGCTGTCACCGTCTGGTGTCGTAACTCCAGCTGACACCCTCTGGTGTGGTAACTCCACCAGCTGACACCGTCTGGCGTAGTAACTCCAGCTGTCACCGTCTGGCGTAGTAACTCCAGCTGTCACCGTCTGGCGTAGTAACTCCAGCTGACACCGTCTGGTGTCGTAACTCCAGCTGACACCCTCTGGTGTGGTAACTCCACCAGCTGTCACCGTCTGGCGTAGTAACTCCAGCTGACACCGTCTGGTGTCGTAACTCCAGCTGACACCCTCTGGTGTGGTAACTCCACCAGCTGACACCGTCTGGCGTGTTAACTCCAGCTGACACATGCTCCAGCGTCTCCAAGTCAGAACATTCCAGCTGACCACAAAGCCGTGACGGCCAGCGTGAGGTCGAGAACACAGGTGTGTGTTCCTCCAGAAGGAGGAGGATGAAGAACAAGACGATCAAGACACAAGAGGCGGGGCCAGGAACTAGGACTCAACCTCTGCAACCACAATTAGGTGAGTGCATGTGCAACACTTAGGTGTCTTCATTGGTGATGAAAACACCTAATTGTTGCCCATGTGCCTTATACAGTCACTCTTGTGGTTATTAAACGAGGACCATGCAGCGATAACCTGAATACCCCACGATGATAACTCCAGAGGGTCATTAATAACCCATGGGTTTATTAATGACCTGGTAGGTCATTAATAAACCCATGATAACCCCTGGGAGGCCATTAACAACCCATAATAACCCCTGGGAGGCCATTATTAACCCATGTTAACCCCTGGTGGACCATTAGCAACCCATGATAACCCCTAGGAGGTCATTAACAACCCATGATAACCCCTGGGAGGCCATTAACAACCCATAATAACCCCTGGGAGGTCATTATTAACCCATGTTAACCCCTGGTGGACCATTAACAACCCATGATAACCCCTAGAAGGTCATTAACAACCCATGATAACCCCTGGGAGGCCATTAACAACCCATGATAACCCCTGGTGGATCATTAATAACTAACAGAAAATAATTTACAACCTATTAAGTTCCTTCCCCAGGATGCATCCAATGACAGGTGACTAACATCCAGGTACCTACTTGCTTCTAGGTGAACAGGAAGTGTAGCAGGTGTTAGGAGCCTTGATTCTTAAAATCTTGCTGCACCCGGGAATCGAACCCGGGTGCTCTCGCTTGTGAGCTCTCTACTAATGTCTTATATTCTCCATTAAACTTTGGGTAACAAACCGTCTATGGTGAATGATAATAATAATAATAATAATAATAATAATGATAATAATAATAATAATAATAATAATAATAATAATAATAATAATAATAATAATAATAATAATAATAATAATAATAATATAGTAAAAATAAATAATATTTATTATTACTACTACTAATAATAATGATAATAATAATTATTATGATTATTATTATTATCATCACTGTAGGGAAGCGGTAAAATGGTAAGGGTTATAAAGAATGATAGGGAATGATGAGGATCTTCCTGTGCCTGGGGAATGAGAGGTACTTAGGTTTGATTCGAGGAAGGGGAGGATAGCACTGATTCCTTGGAACAAGAACCCTTCACCACCAGGAATTGCAGGGAATATTTACGTCCTTGGGATAAAGTAAGGACCATCCACGTCCTTGGGGTAAAGTAAGCAACATCTATGTCCTTTGGGTAACGTGAGGACAATCCACGTCCTTGGAATAACGTAAGGACCATCCACGTCCTTGGAATAACGTAAGGACGATCCACGTCCTTGGGGTAACGTAAGTTTATTTAGGTACATGTACACGTAAGTACAATGATCATACATAGTGTAAATTACCCAGGAAAACCCAAGAAAGTCAGACGGAGTGACTTATTTCCATTGGGGTTCTTGAAAGGAGCATGCACGTCCTTGGAGGTCAAGCAAGGACCATCCACGTCCTTGGAGGTCACGCAAGGACCATCTACGTCCTTGGAGGTCATGCAAGGACCATCCACGTCCTTGGAGGTCAAGCAAGGACCATCCACGTCCTTGGAGGTCAAGCAAGGACCATCCACGTCCTTGGAGGTCACGCAAGAACCGCCCACATCCTTGGAGGTCACGCAAGGACCATCCACGTCCTTGGAGGTCACGCAAGGACCGTCCACGTCCTTGGAGGTCAAGCAAGGACCATCCACGTCCTTGGAGGTCACGCAAGAACCATCCACGTCCTTGGAGGTCACGCAAGGACCATCCACGCCCTTAATATATATAGCGTCCTTGTGTACAGTTAGGAATCTGCACGACCAGCTTTCCTGGGTCAGTGGAGCGAGGAAGAGGATAGGAGGGTGGATGGCGTAGAGGAAGGAGGAGGAGGAGGGGATGTAACAAGGGGTAGGGGGATGAGGTTAGGAGGAGGTGGAGGGGGTTGTGGTGGAGGATGAGGGGACGGAGGGAAGGGGATGGAGGTAGAGAGCCTCCATTCTTCACTGGGTCATTCTGTCGAGACGTCAGACACATCTTTCTTTGCTTGGACAATTCCAGAATTGTTTCCGTCACGCTATTTTGAGAAGAATTCTGTTCGTTCCTTCTGCCTTTCCGGAGTCACTTTACCTGACCATTTTTGGGGAGTTATCTTGGGTAATTTACACATATGTTACTATGTATGATAATTTGTGTAACTGCATTTATGTGTACTTGTGCCTGAGAAAAACTTATGGGCCCAGAAAGGGTCTAGGAAAGGGCCACGGGGGGGCGGAGACCCCCGAAATAGACTCAGAGTAAACTTGAGCTCTCTACAAAACATACTCTCTGCAGAACAAACTCTCTAAAGAGCAAAGTATCTACTGAACAGACTCTCTACAACATACTGGGTTGATCTTGTTGGCTCTGTTCACCTAGCAATAACTATGTACCTGGGTGTTAGTTGATTGTTGTGGGTGGCATCCTGTATACGCAGATCGTATCATATCTTAAGACAGAACCGGGTTCTGAAAAGAGCTGAGGTAATACAAGAACTCCAAGCCTACAAATTCACTAGTGTATATACAAAAAATGAACAGTCTCTAGGGAGCAACCTCTCTCTCTACACAACCAGCTTTCTAAATCTGCGGTTCTCAATTAACAGACGGGAGCAAGACGAATACAAGCGGTGTTCACTGTAACCTCACTGTCACTGTTGTCAAGGAGGTGAATTTAGTCTGTGATTACAAACTGTAATATAGAACTGTATCCTTTTTATTTGCGTAGTTAATCACGCATTCTGTTTCCTGGTATCTATGTTTTTTTTTATTTAGATAAAACTAACTTCGTTTTCCAGCAAGATCTTTATTACAAAATTATACAGTGAAAATACAGTACACAGTTAGAGTTCCTGTCACTTTTTGTAATGGCATGCGTTCGGCGCGGCACCAGTGGTTTAGTTTTTTGTAAGTGTGGATCAAGAGTTGGAGTTTATCCACCTAGTGTGACTCCAGGACAGTGTACACTTCCTGCCAGGACAAATTTGCTTCTGAAATAGTGATTTTTTTTGTTCTTGGCGCGCGCGCGCGCGCGCGTGTGTGTGTGTGTGTGTGTGTGTGTGAGTGTGTGTGTGTGTGTGTGTGTGTGTGTGTGCGTGCAGCTGCTGTAGTTTCTTACGACAACTCACAGGAAGGAGTGGTGGTCCAGTGTTCAGTCTTCAGGGTCCTGAACTAGAGCCAACCCCTGGCCCTCCCATTCCTTAATATTTATTTTCCCTTACACCTCTTTACGTCCTCATGTTCCAACACACATTATTATATTTTCCAGTTCACACACACTCGCTGTGCACGACACTGCAAGAGTACACAGTGCACGACACTGCAAGAGTACACAGTGCACGACACTGCAAGAGTACACAGTGCACGACACTGCAAGAGTACACAGTGCACGACACTGCAAGAGTACACAGTGCACGACACTGCAAGAGTACACAGTGCACGACACTGCAAGAGTACACAGTGCACGACACTGCAAGAGTACACAGTGCACTCTAAGGAGTCTTAACTCAGCATTAGTATAACAAATAAATATCGAACAAGTGACTCATTTTTCTTTACTGAAACTCATTGACATTTATACTTTTCATCATCTGCGAGACACTTAC